GAATTATTTTGAATGAATAATAAAACAATCATTGAATTCGGCTTTCGTATCATATGAAGAATTATGGAGATGTCGGAGGGTATTATCCGTGTCGGCCTACGGCCTCGACGGATAACACCCTCCTCGATCTCTATAATTCTTCATAAGATACTCAGCTTCATTCATTAATCGTTAAATAAAGGACATTGGCTCTGTTGGCAAAAAAGCATGTGCTTGTGTCTTTCACCAGCTTATGTGAAATAACATTGGCATGTTCATGTTGTCTTTTTGCAATTGCTGTATGCGGAAAAGCAACGATAATACAACTCATGTATTAGCTACAGTGGATACCCCGTGCCACTTGAGGACGACAATTCGATCAGTATAAACAATTATTGGATGAGGTTTTTGTGATATCCGGAATAATCAAGGTCGAGGTAAGTGTTATCAGGCGAACCGAAGGCCGAGGCTGAAAACACTTGCCGAGACCTTGATTATTTTTTGATATCACAAAAACAGAATCTAATGATTTTGTTATTAAACATTGTTTTGAAGAAAATAACGACAAACACACCGTCGCAAAGAACCTAAATCGATGTTGTTATTGGAAATCATGCATTGCGCGCGCAACCTACAGATTAGTAGGTTGCGCCTATTTCTAAAATAAGCTGTAAGCTCTTAGCCAATGAGAAGACAGATAGTGAATACAATGTATAATAATAACAGTAATCGCTTATGTGAGGGTCAGTCTAGTTAAACGATACGGTGTATTAGGGCCAAGAGATATTTCAAGGAATAACAATTGCCTGCATTTGTAAAGTTTTAAAAGCTATTTCTATGTGAAGATTTTTTATGGCCTAGTGCTTAGTTATCCATGTACGTAGTCTAATGAAAGTACAGGCTTTCACAGTATGTGTTCTCTTCGACAAAAGAGACCTTTAAATTTGAGGACGAGGACGACTACGAGTGCGAGATTTGACGTAAAGTTTTTTCACGTATTCTCAAAACAGAGACTCCCCGGAAAGCTTCATTTTACTATTTTTCACTTGAAAAGTTAGCACCGTTATCTTTAGTGAAGTAGGTTACGCCCTCTCCTGATCGCAAAATGATGGAAAAAAGTTCTAACATTTGATACCTTGTTTCAGCCTCTTCGACATTCTTGCAAAGACTCGTAGTAGAATGATGACGACTACCGTGTTTTCCCGGCAAAATGACGCAGGCTCACGCGCAAGTGAGAAAATCTCGTACTCGTTGTCGTACTCGTCTTAGAATCTAAAGCTCTCTAAAATGATTATTTCGCCCCATGTAAGGCAAACCGGATAACTTTTGCGCGTTGAATCCGGAAACGGAAAATTCTGCTTGTAGAATCCGGAATCCTGGGCCTTGGAATCCGGAAAACAGCTGTAGGAATCCGGAATCCCAATAACAATTGGAATCCGGAATCCAAGGTCCACTGAAAAGATCTGGAATCCGGAATCCATGATCTGAAAAAGATCTGGAATCCAGTACCTGGAATCCGGATTCCATGATCTGAAATCCAGAATCCAAGACTGTCTTGGATTCCCTAACATTGGGCGAATAGAGTACTAAAGTGATGACGTCATAAAAATGAAATTTCTGAAATTATGGTATTTGTCAGGATATTCTGAAAGAACAATGTCCAAGAGGCCTACTTGCCAAAAATGAGCATTTCCGGGCAAATTGTCTCTGAGATTGTAGCCCAGTTATGCTTAGAAAACTCCATACAAACCCTTCTAAATTTTTTGGTGGTCGACCCACAAAAGATTTAGAACTGAAGGGTTAAATTTTAACCCGGAATTCTTTATCTTTTTATCAAAAGCACTCTCTCGGATAATTTCCTCTATTCTTTTTAAAGTATCCAATCGTCAAATTGTAGGCAAAGAGAATTAAACTGAATTTGCCAGTTTTAAGCTCTCATATCTGAGTTCAAATTACGCACCAACTCTGAGTTATCTTAACCTAGCTTCGAACAACCCGGCCCAGATGGATTGGCTAGATATTTTATCAACTTCTCCCCTCTACTCCTTTAGGAAATGAACAAGGGCAACAAATGGGACTTTAAATTTTGATCCTAGGGTTTAAAGGGTTAAACTATTGGACTCAATTTTGACTTAAAGAGGCTCCGTCACGCGGCTGTCGACATTTTTTTTTTTTTTTTTTTTTTTTTTTTTTTTTTTTTTTTTTTTTTATATATATATAACGCGAATTAAGCTAGCGTCCTTATTGGCTATGGAACGTGACAAATTACTTGTGAATGACAAATTCAGAGCATCGTAACAAACAAATATGCCGCCGTCTCCCAAGCAATATATAAAAAGGTACAAACATCAATAATGAACTTTGAAAAAACTGTTAGGCTAACAAGTTTTCAAAAACCACAATTGCAATCCGTGCTTCCTTTTCTATTTGCTGTGTTTATAGTTATTTTCATTTTTTAAGCAATATTTTTATGCTTTCCTCAGTTTTTTTTTTATCCTTCTGTTTGAATTTCGAGAGATTTCGTGATAAAGCTCCTGGCCTTTAATAGCCGTCGCACTTCAACAGATCTAAAATTTTACAGAGGACTTGGGACAGTTCGTTTCAGTTTACACTACGTAAGCAAACCGCTGACTCTCTTCTCCCAAGTTTCAAAGATGGCGCGAAATCCGGAGGACTGAGATGCACGACAGCGATTAAAAATGGTTCGTTGTTCTTTTCTGTGTTTATTTTAATAGATTTCTTCACCAATGCTGATTGAAATGAGTTCTTTTCCTGCAGGATATTCGGTCTTTTTTCAGTCCAAAGGGAAAGACGTCGAAACCAGGCGTCTTGAAGTCGGAGGATAAACGCGGGAAAGATAATTTATCCACAAATCCTTCTGCTGGGAAAGGGAAAGCAAAGAGCAAGGTGTGTTGGTTGAAACCTTCCACGATATTTTTGGGGCAATTTAATTGTATTATATGACGCTGCTGATAAGCGTTCAAAATACGTAATCTTTTGTTATGTGTAATATCTATCAAAACAGAAGTAAACTTTATAATTAATTCTTTTTATATCCAAATATTTTGGGAATTGCGTGGACGAGAAGCTTATAAACCTAGGTTTACTTGTAGTTAGCTGTAGGGTTAAGGCATAAGTTTACTTTAATTTAAAATAAATGCATTCAATACAGACTTTTTTCTTTTTAAACTCAGAAATTCATCGACTGAAAATTGTTATGATTATAGTACACTGCAGAGAGTTGACACTTTGGTGGATTATTTGAAACCTAACACCCCCCTTGCCCCACCCCACCCCGCCTAAGTGGCTCATGTGTGGCAGATATGTATACATAGTTTTTATACAAAGGTGTATCTTTCAATGTCCTCCCCTTGCAGGGGGGGGGGGATGGGGTGGGTGGCACTGAAGGGAAGATTGGCTTCAAGCCCTGATGAAGACAAGACATGACACATGACTTCATGACACTGATTTACTTGTATTGTCATGGGTTTCAATAAGCATCGACAACCAACGAAATGGGTCAGCTACTTTGCTCAGAACAGTTGGCTACTTTTTTCCCTGAAAAAGAAGCAAAGATAAATCATGAAATCTGTATTAAAACGTAAGTCAATTATGATGTGCTTTCACGGTCCACTGATATGATATGCTTTAGTTACACCAGAAGCGTTTCGGGTTACACAAACACTGTATTTCAGTCAATATTTTTCCCACGTTTCTTTGTAGGTTTACGCAGAATTTGTTTATGTGCAAATGTACCTAATTTTTGATATTGACATTTGCTCATTGCTTGTAAGAATTGATTGTGTGGCTATGAAACCTGAATGAAAGCTATATTTTCTAGAATGAAAAACACACTCTTCTTTTTTCAATTTAGTCCCCAGAACACTGGAAATCACATTTTAGGGTTTTGAAATTCCAAAATTTTCTGGGTGAGCACACCCCCAGACCCCGCTAGAAAAAGGGGACTAACAGCCCCTTGTTGATACAGTTGGCTACTCTATTCTACTCGAAAGTGCCGGCTACTCAAATTATTACTGAAACCCCTGTATTGTGTTTCAACAAAGAATAAATTAATTAATTTTCTCAAATTAGCATCATGGAATTATTTTTTTTATTTTGAAAAATATTTTGGTAGGACATATGTAGTCCACTAATTGCCATCCTTAACTCTCTTTTAAAGGTTTCTGGTCCAAAAAGGAAACCCTGTTAAAGATGCTTCAAAAACTCATTAATAATTCATGAAGGAAAACAGAACAAAATAATGTTTTAAGAGTGCCTTTATATCCGATAAAGACACGGCTTGACTTCACGTCCAGTGTTTTAGACCAGAATAACCCCAAATCAAAATATTAGTGCAAGAATTCAGGGTCTGAAGTCTTAAACAAGGTATAATCATCACAATATTAAGTACAATATTAAGTACAATATTAAAAACTTGCAGTAGTGTGTAATCAGTTTAAAAAACTTGAGGCAAAGCCTGATAATACACTCCTGCTCATTTTTTGAACAGTACTTAATATTGTGATAATATAGTATACCTTGTTCAAGACTTGAGACCCTGAAAAATTATGATACCCTGTTCAGCAACACATACCTGTCTCGACCAAGTGCGGGACTGCCCTCCCCCTCATGCCTCTGAGTTGCCAGCAAGCTCCTAAGCCAGAGGGTATAGTAAGACTGATTCTTGGGTATTTTTTATTCACTCCCATTTGATCCTGGGCTCACAAGACAGCTCTTTAGCCACTGTTAATTAAAAAAAACACACGCACACCAGGGTGTCCATTAGTTAAAATTCTAAAAGCAAGAGAAAGTTGTAACGTTACAGGAGAATAATATTTTGAAAGAGGCTCTACATCTCAGTAAGAAATAGTAATACATGTAGGATGGGTGATGCTCGATGTACCAAATCAATATATGCACTATTGTCTCGTTCTCTTGTGTGAAGTTTACTGTGTTATTGTGTAAGGGCCAGGGATCATTGTTGTGTTTTTTGTGCGGTAACTCAAGACTTGATTTTCACTTGGTACATGTATATGGTGCACCAGCGAGGATTGAACATTAGCCGGAGAATTCTGTGTAGTAAAGGGAGAATTCTTTAATCTCTAATGCCTAATAAACACCTTGCACACACACAAAAAAAATAGTTAAAGGATGCTACCAGACAATCCAGGTGGGACATACAAAGTACTTGTAGCCTGAGATCATCCCAGTGTTTTGGAGTATGAAGCAACTATAGGCTTAGCTATAAAAGTATTGCTCCTCCTGCTTTGATAACACAAAGACATTACTACAGCTGTAGTTTCTTGTCTAATGAAAACATTTCAATGGCAAGACTGACTTGAACTTGGATGTACCAACCTAAAGTTTGCCATGTTTAACACTCAGCTGTCACTCCTTCACAATCAGCTGTTGTATCTGATTTTAATATACATAATTATTTAAATTATTTATTTAATTTACTTTAGTTAAAGTACAACAGTAACCTGATAAACTAACCTTATGCTGTGCAAAACTCTTGTATCTCTTTAGGTTTTATCGAGCAGTGAAGATGAGGAGGTAGCAAAAAAGCAGAGGCACAAGGAAACTCAGAAGAAAAAAGCAAGGAAGTATATTGATTCAGGTAATATTTCAAAATGCTTTAATTTGTTAATAATGATATATAAATATTTTGGATCTTGTTTACTGTGGGTAATGTCGACCGAGGTATCGGTCGATATAGCGGTCGATATAGCGGTCGACATAGCGGTCGACAGTCGGTCGATACTCGGTCGACAGTCGGTCGATACTCGGTCGACAGTCGGTCGACAGTCGGTCGATATAGCGGTCGATAGTCGGTCGACAGTCTGTCGATAGTCGGTCGATAGTGAGAAAGACTATCGGCCGAGTATCGGTCGATATTTCGACGACGCACCTCGACTTACTATCGGTCATATGTCGGTGATATATCGGTCAACTGTCGGTGGTATATCAGTCAACTGTCGGTGGTGTATCGGTCAACTGTCGGTGGTATATCGGTCAACTGTCGTTCGAATATCAGTCATGTGTTAATTTATCAGGTGAGTCTAATGGCTCTTTTTTCTAAGCAAAGACGTCATTAATTACTGTTATCATGCGATGGGGGAACATGTGGCAGTGCGAGGCGCGATTACTCTATGAAGCGAACCGAAGAGCACTGGGAACTAAGGACATGGTAACCGTTTTTTTTTCCAGTTTGTATCATCACCGATCGTCCTATTTTTAGCTGTTAAACACAACTTGTCTCAGCCTAAGTTGAATCTGCTGCTCCTGTGGTCCCGCAGTCGAAGAATACTTAAAGAACGACGAGTGAAACGAGTGCTCCCGCAGTCCCGAAGTGGAAGAATAATGAATAGGAAAAGGCAGTTCATGACATGCTTTAAATACACATCTTTTATTATCGGGCTTGGACCTGCTTCATCACGCCGAGTTCTCGTTTGTGCAGAGACCACAAATTAAACTTATATATTTCTGCATTGAAGACGGGAACAGTCCTTTGTTTAACGATCAGTTATTGATAAAACGCGCTGATAATGCGCCGAGGAAGGTGACAAAATATCCAGCAGACTGAACACATTCATTTATTGTGGGAATGATTTCAACTTACAGCAAGGAAAATACAAAAAATGACAAAAACAAGGGAAAAAGGAAAAGCGAAAAAAAAAAGCAGAAAAGTCTAAAGTGATTGGGTAAGACTTTTTGGCATGCCCGTACCAAAAAATGTCACAAAACGGGATGCTATTGCAAAGAAAGGCATGCTTTCATGTTTAATTTTGAAAAGTTTGGACTAAAAACTGACCAAAAATGTCCAAAAATGCGAATTTTTCAAGAATCTCCACGTGTAAATGGGGGCAATCGGTTCATATTTCAGTAATCTTGCTCCAATTTCTTCTCCAGGGCTATTGACCAAACAGAGTTTAGCCAGTTGCATTCCACTTCCAAGCCATTTTCAGTTTGCCAAATGTTTTTGTGTAAACACCATTTATTGTGAAGAGTTCCATGAAACCATATAGCATAGACTAGAAAAGCATTTGACTTCATATAATAATCCACTGAGGAAGAGATGATCTGGAGGTCCAAAGATTTCCTAAACCGTGGTCTTAGTCAGACTTCATTTAAATAATCGACCCTTAGTGTTTCTTCTGTGCCTTAGTTTGTCTCTTCAGTCTTGGCAAACAAAGACTGAGGTCAGTCCATGTTGTTGAATTAAACGGAACTAATGGCTGTGTCATGGATTATAATGTACTTTTAAAAGGAAAATAAAGTTGAATTCAAAATACTTTTAATGCTTTCTGGATTTATTTTTTTAGACTCTGATGAAGACCCTCTTCCACCTAAAATAAGGTACATGCATACCATTAGCATTCTCCTTTGTACTCTCTATAATTATATATATGTACTTTGATACATTTGTCTCTTTAAACAATCTATGTACTGTAATAATATAGTTTTGGTGCTTCAGGGAGGAGCAAAAGTGCTTTCCAGTATAACTAAGGGGCTAGTACAGTAAAGCTCTTGTGGGTAACCTCTGTTATTATTCAGGTTAACTAGCATTTTCCTTTGTCACATACAATGTATAACTTATCAGGGCTGAGGAGCAAAGAAAATTCTGATTCAAACTACAAATTAATTTAGGTTGAATCCTTGTTGAACCTGAGAACAGATTTTAGATATTGTACCTGCAGTGTGTATGACTGAGCTACCCATTGGGGACTCATAGCAGCGTATTTTAGTTAAGAGTTGCTCAACGGAAAGCAAATCCGGTGAAATAAAATAATGTAAGTCCATTCTTTTCACAACACAAAATAATTCTTCTTATAGCCTGCATCCCTATATCTCTTTATATTACAGAAAGGCTGCTTCTGCATCCAAGGGAGATGGTGCAAGGCCTAAGAAGAGCAAGAGGTCCAGCAACTTTGATGACTCTGGTAAACATTAATAACTTTTATAACAGGAGAAAGTGGTGGCCTACAAAAGAAGCATACCTTAAAAAACAGATGAGATTTACAGAAGATGCTTCTTGTGATACAAAATAAATTAATAATAAGCCTGTACCTTATTGTCCACATTATTTCATTATAAAGAGAACATTCAATAACCATTCCATAAGTATCTTTGTGAGAGTATAAAGCTTTGAAGTTTTGTTGCACAAGAAAGTTAAGCAACAATACTTACAATCCTTTGTGTGCTATGAGAAGAAATATACAGTCTAGGATGTGATGCGTGATTTGATGGGTGATAACCTTCTTTTATGCAATACAATACTGTACATATAAAAATATGTCCCTCACCCCCCTTCTGCCAGCTGAATGTTATTGATGATGATGATGATGGTGATGATTGATGATGGTGACTACACCTAAATTATAGATATAACTGTATACAACATAAGGTCCCAAATTTGCTTTCTTGGATTTATGTTCTTATGCACCTATCAATGTAAACCCCGTGGGGGGGGAGTGCGGGCAAGGGGTGGGGATTTGACAAATTTTAAAATTTTTCGATCAAATTCCCCAGGGTGGGAAACGAAAGGTCAATCAAAAGTGTCAAAAAAGCCCCCACCCCAGGGGAAAAATTCTAAACAAACAATGCTATAATACTATGTAAAACGAATAAAAGAACATTTCAAACACATTGTTACTACTTTTATTTACGGTTAACGGAAGCTCCATTAAATTACTCGCTGTAATTAAGTATTTTCTCTCTCCACTAGCATCTCTTATCTTGAACAACAAAATCACTCCAGGAAGATTGACCGTGCTATATAATATTAATAAAACGTAAAATGCTTTATAACATCTGCTCAACATGTCGGAACAGGTCGGATCAGTAACCCATAAAAAATCCTCTGACTTTCAATCGAGTTTTACAATCAGATGCGAACTTGAAGATGAAAAATATTTTTTAAAATAGACATTATCTGTTTAGATGACAGTGTAAAGTATCGGATTATGGCGATTAAAACAAATGAAAACTTCATACCTTTCTCCAACAGCGTGACTTTCAGGAGGCCTCGAGGGACGGACTTGGTAACTGCTTCTGAATTGATATCAGGCTTCTGTCAGTCAAAGCCAAATGTCCCGACCCCGGGGTCGCTTCGCACGATCAAAAGCCCGACAGCGGGGATAGTCCCAGGCATCAAATCCCCTCCCCTTGCCCGCACTCCCCCCCCCACGGGATTGACATTGATAGGTGCATTAAGCTTTTCCTATGAATGGAAAACTTTTACAATTTTGTTATTTTATTTACATCTTCTGCTACATGATGTTTAATACTTAATTGTATATACAGTACATGTACATGTGCGGGTAATGTACATGCATTTTATTTGAACTGTCCTTATTCCTTCTTGTGTTGTCATTATTCCCTTCTCTTCATGCTTCAAATGCCTTCAATCAGTATAATAAAATTATTTCTCTTGTAGATGAAGAGGAAGTCATTCCTCCAAAACTGAAAAAATCTGTGAAGCAACCAGAAACCAAAGCAAGAAAAGAAGTTGTTCATGTGAAGGAAAGGTACTAAACAGTTATTGTGAAACATTTCTTTGCTATCTCAGGGCATTAGGGAGCTTAACGACAATGATGGCTACAAAAACGTCACTTAAAAAGTGAATTCCCAATGCCTCTAAAACTTTATCGTGCTTGTTCCATCTCGTTCAATTCGTCAGATGTTGGTGAATTTTTCTGGAGTTCAATTCCAAAGGACTGTATCAAAGTTCGGAAAAAGAAAAAGGAAGTTGCTTTCTTTTGTTCACGTTCTCAACAAAAAGTGAAATTAGGCAGTTTCACGTCGTAGTCGTGCAATGACGGCAAAGAAATGTACCAAAAAGTGTGATGCGCATGCAAAGCTGTCGTTTTGCCAATCTAAGCCTCCTGTTTTTTTGCCCACTCTTGTTACCGTTGTCGTTGCCGTTGCTTAAGCTCCCTATTTTCTCAAAAATAGCCCTCTAGAGAGAGCATGTCTTTACAGTGTGCTGCTGTGCACTTGTTTTATTGGCTTGCTATGTAAATAAAAAAAAAAATTATATAAGCATGAAACATAAAGAGGACTTTTAAACAGAACTACCTCTAAGAGCCTTGTTTTTTTCTTGTTTGCTTACTTCGAAACTGTACCATAGGGGAGATTGTACACTGTAGTTGCAATACTTAATGTGATCCCCATTCTGCACACATACACTGTACATGTATGCCATTAAAAAAATGAAGATCGCGGGAGTGATTCATGTACAGAATATTAATTATCTAGGTACAAATATATTTGATAAAATAAAAGCTGTCTTATATGATCATTGTTTACTGTGCTGAACACATTGAATTGATTTTTCATAGCCCTGTCAAGCCAAAAGAAACTCAAGCAAAAACCACGTCTGCACTTGACTTCTTTGGATCATCTCCTGTTGAAAGAGCATCAAGAAAAGTGTTTGCCACAAAGAGAAAACAGGTTTGTTGCCTTAAAAATAATGCAGAGAAAAAAACAGGCACTAGTAATATCTCTTGGTTAGTGCACTGTGACTGGTCAATTTAGCGGCCATATGTCACTTTTCAGAGCTCTAAATTTAAATGTTTTTTTGGTAGAAATCCATGCCAGAAAAACAATGTTAAACTGGGCTTAGATGTTCAAACGTCAGATAGTGCTATCCAATAGATAAATTACTGTCCGGAACGTAAGTATTAGAGAAATCAATATTATTGTGTTATCCAGTGGATAGGGATTTATCCAGTGGATAGCATTATCCATCTTTTGAATAACTGGGGCCTGCTTGTTTTGTGCAGTTTTGGATTGTGAGTATGTTACATTTACATGTCAAACAAATGATTTTGATGGCTCAATAAAATTTCCACTTGTTTACAAGATTTGATCATCAGGGACTGTCCTGCTTAAATTGAAAACGTTCCCCCTCAAGTAAAACCCAACGATGGGTGGACATATCTAACCAACCTGCTCTTTGTGGTCTGTACTGTAACTTACATGTGACTGTATGGAGCCCCTCTTTTTCTTCTTGCTTTATTCTTAGGCAATAAACTGAGGCAAAAACTCTCAACTTACAACAGACTTCAGACTCAGTAGGAGGTATATTCTAATGTACTTCTGTACATAACAGACTTCAATGGCCAACTCATAATAAACATGATTATTTAAGATAAAATGTTTCTCCCCTGTGCAGCGATCTGATGAATCTGAAGAAAATGATGACTCAAGAGAAACAAAGCAAGGAGAAATCACAGAGGATAGGGGAAAAGGAAGAATAGAAGATAGAAAAGTGAATGGGAAAAAAGAAGAACAGCCATCAAAGAAACGAAAAGAGGAACCACCAAGTCCTCAGAATGGTGTCAAGAAACCATCTCCTGAAAAGTCAAAAAAGGTCTGAAGAATACTTAGTAAACATTTAATTAATTATGTACATGTATGCATGGTTTGCAGTGGGCCGGGCACTAAGAATTACCACTTTTTTTTAATGTAGAAATGTGAAGCCTAGCTTGAGAAAACAGGCAACATTTCTCAACAAAATGACAAAATGAAATGATGTCTGAGGAACCAAATGCAGAAATTTCATATACTGATGATGTGTCACTACCCTGATCTGGGCAGTGCTTCTGATTGGTCATGCTATGAGGGAAACTTGCTTCAAGCGATCAAAAGTACGAGCCAGATCTGGGAAGAAACATGTCATCTTATAGAATTTCTGTGCTCATTTCTCCGTCATCATCACTTTTTGACTTGGTTGATCAGACAAAAGTCTTTTAATTACATGTAGCAGATTGCATAACCAAAATTTTACAATCATTTTTTGTGTTATTGAAATCATTTAATTTGAATATTGATAATTTAAAATGAAATTCCCTACTTTCACATAGACCGTAATGTACCTTGTTCACCTCCCAGAAGTCTTGGGGGGTAAACAAGGTGCATTATAGCTATGTGAAAATGGTCAATTGAATAAAAGAGTTGTTTTCAGCTTAGAGAATGTTCCAAATGAGTTATTCAATAAATAATTACCAATTAATTAATGAGGCTGAGTAGGATATGAAGAGTTAAGCAGATCGAGGAGGGTGTTATCCGCAGAGGTCGAAGGCCAAGTAGGATAACACCCTCTAAGATCTGCTTAATTCTTCACATCCTACGAATGCTGAATTCATTAATTGCTTTATTATTCATTCCAAGTAATTCCTAGTTTAAAAACATAGCTAAAACGTGCTTACCTGCATCAATGTTAAGTTTATCTTCGATAGTGTACTTTTAGGTTTGTCCAGCTCTCGCAAATATTCTCCAAATGTCTAGCAGATGTCGCACTCCAAGTTGTCTTCTTGCTGTTTTTGCTATGTTTTTTTTATTTTAGCCATAATTTGTTTTGCCTAGTTCCAGCTTTAGTTCTTACTCTTAAAACAAGTGAAGTGTCTGCCATTTTAGTTTTCACAATGAAAACAACTCAACCTTGTCCCCAGGTCTTCTCGGTTAACAGTGCATTAACCTGTGGAAGGCTGCATTTTTGACGTCATTCCCTCGTTAAATGTCTCATCATTGATTGTTATTATTTAATTATTATTTATTTTTGTAATCTCCACAGACCCCAGAGAAGCTGCCAAAAGTGACACCTGCTAGCAAACTTGCAGCCAAAGCTGCTGCCACAGCTTTAAAAACCTCAGAGGTCATACCTGAAACTCCAGCAAGAGAAACAAAAAAAGAAAGCCCTCAAAAGACTCCTTCTCCAGCTAAAGAAAGCAAGGCAGTTAAAAAAGATTCTCCAACCAAGAGTACACCAAAGGCTTCAAAACAAGATGAACTTCCCAACGAAGTACCACCATCTTTGGAAAAAAGGAAATCTAGTTATCGTAGTTTCATGCAGCGAGATGGTCCAAGAGCAGTGGGCTCAAAACCCATCCCTGAGGTTAGTTGTTTCCAATAACTTGCTTTTGCCCTCGGCAAGTAGAAGGATAAGCTACATTGTACATGTACAGATACAGTTTACCAGATTTCATTCATTGGGGGTTTATTTCAAGCATCCCTTGAACTATTTTTAAGTTTTCGTTGGCTCCTGAGAACCCTATGCTACAAGTTCTAACCTCAAGAACTGTTCACTTTTTTTTTTTTTTCATCTCACTTTATAGCAGGACTGTCACAAAAGGTGCAAACGGTCTAAGGTTTTCAAAGGAAATAACCAAAAGGAAAACAGAACCTAATTAAGTACTTCCAACTGCTCACCTACAGCCTAGCTATTGTATATATGCCTGGACCTGGCAGTCAGCCCTTAGTGACAGCCCTGAAATCACAAGAAGGTTTTAAAATGACCTTACTTAGCTGTAGTGAATTCTGTAGTTGCCCTTGGTCAATTTTTATTTTTATTTTAACCTACAGGGAGAGGAAAATTGCTTGGAGGGCCTTACATTTGTTATAACTGGAGTGTTGGAAAGCATAGAAAGAGATGATGCTGCTGATTTAATCCAGAGATATGGTGGAAAGGTCACAGGGTCAGTCAGCAAGAAAACAAGCTATCTTGTCGTGGGCAGAGATGCTGGTGAAAGCAAGATATCCAAGGTTAGAAGAAATTAAGGATTAACATTATGGATTGCTTTGTTTTCGTAGTCACTTGATAGATATGTTGATTCTCAATTTCCCTTGTCTTCTAGTCTTAATTCATGAATAATTAGGGCTGGGAGACAAAGGAAAATTGAGAATCAACTTAGGTTAAAAAATTTTAACGTGAATTTAATTTCGTCCTGTAATAGATCCACGTACATGTGCATTGTGTGTAAGACCATAGAATATTATTATTATGTGCAACCCCAACAATGTTGTGTTTTGTATTTTCTAGAGGATGATACTCCCTGAAATACCAGTGATGAACTTCCCTGAACCTTTCTTTAGTATTATTATCATTATTATTATTATTATTATTATTATTATTGATATTATCATTATTATGGCAGTACAAACGTCTGGATGCCCAGAGTAAAAAATAAAAGCTTTGGCTGGGCAGCAAACCGTAACCAGCCGCAGCATCGACTAAAATTTATGGTAACAATTACACAATAATTTGCGCAAAAAAAATTAATAAATAAATAAAAACCTGGGTAAAAATGATCATGATTATTATTATTATTATTATTATTATTATTATTATTATTATTACTGTTGTTATTATTATCATCATTATCGTTATTGTTATTGTCATTATCATATTATTGTTACAATTATTATTACTGTTATTATCATTACCATTATCATTATATTATTATTTAATGATAATTATATTATTATTTTTTAAATTCAAGGCCAAGCAGGTAGGTACAACACAATTAGATGAGGATGGGCTATTTGAACTGGTCAAAACACGACCTGGCAAAAAGATCAGCTATGAGCCACCTAGTGTTGAGAAGAAGCCAAAGAAGAGAGCAAAGGCTGAAGTAGTGGAGTCAACAGAGACTTTAAGTCAAGGGAAGGATCCATCAGAGTTAGAGTCATCCCAGATGAGTCAACAATCAACATCATCCCCTGCTACTCAAACACCTTCTGGATCACCATCACTGAATGGTTTGATTTATTCCTTTGACTGTTTTTAAGTGGACATCCTGCAGACTCTCCATAGAGCTGAAAATTGGCCCATATTTGTTTCTAAGGGCTGGGGGGTACTGTAACCTGTGATGAGGCCTAGTTCCTTTCTCAGGGTGTGCAAAAAGTCTGCCGACAGACACCCGATCAGATATTAAATTTGTTGTTTTAACAACTAATAGTAACCTAATAAAGCACAAAGAGTCCAGTTACAAGGTCAATGTAGACTAACGTTCCCCTTTGCTTTTTTCTTTCAAACAGACCTTTGCTCCAAGCTTCCCAAAAAGCTCTTGCACACGTATCTAATATGTTTCCTAAATTTCCCGTCTCTTCCAGACCTATCCCCCCTAAAAGCTAATAGTGACCAATGGTTAGGAAGTGAGGCTGAACATGTGCGTTTAGCTTAGAGATGTGATTGAAGAGAACAACTTTTATAATGAATCAGAGAAAGCCCTTTTAGTTCCTTCCAGCTTGGGGTGCCTGTGGTGTTTTCGAATCATGGACAGATTTTGGAAAAACCTCGTTATACAGTTTTAAAAAGTGCAGCTGAGCAAGAAAAGTCTGCAGGCTCGCTTTAGCTCACCCTTAGTAACACTAACATGTACTGGTTTACATTGCTAACTTTGACTTTTCTTCTTCAGGGGAACCTAGTTTAATGTGGGTTGATAAGTATCGCCCTCGCACAGTAAAACAGATTATCGGCCAGCAAGGTGAAAAGAGTAACATGAGGAAACTAATGAACTGGCTTAGAGACTGGGAAAAAAATAGGAAGAAGCCACCATCTAAATGTAAGTCTCGTTGCTATAAATACCAAGTGATGATTTTTATGATTACAGGGACGTAAGGCCTAGGCCAATCGTCGAACTTTTCATGAGACGAATTAAACTCTAATTTTGGTTTAATTAAATTAAGTTAAGATCACCTGTTGGGTCAGGCGTCGAACCCATCAGCTGAGTCAGATCAGTACTAAATTTTCTCCCGAACGAGGCTAAATTCACTACTTTCACATAGACCATAATACACCTTGTTTACCCCCCTCCCCCCGGAATTTTGCATAACCATTGTTTCCAATTTCTTGAGGGTATTACTGTCGTCCTAAGAGAAAACAATGGTTATGCAAAGTTTTGGGGGTAAACAAGGTGCATTATGGTCTATATGAAAATGGTGAATATACATTTAGTTTAGTTCGTCACATGTGAAGATCGACGTTTGTCCCAGAGACGATCTTGAGACGTTCTATCCGCTGCTTCCAAACTCAATCAGACCAATTTAACTGAGCCAGACGTCGAACTTTTCATGAACTTAACTCCCTAAGTTAGGTTCCTCTCATGAAAAGTTCGACATTTGGTCAAGGCCTTTAAAAGCGACCACCACGACCACGGAAACATGAAAAATTATTCTCGGGATGTATGAGCAAATCAACAGTTCGACACGTGCATCTCGCTTTTGGAACATTTGGTTTTCGTGCGACGTTGTATGGTGGATGTGAACACACAACGGCTAATTTTCCTTTCACTTTCTGAACTTGGATAGAGTCCTTAAGAATCCAACTGCAAGAGAATGAGACTACAATTGTCTTAATGGCCAAAGCTAAATAAATGCGACAGATAACAGTGATGGTACGTGTAGAAGTATTATGATTGTCAGGTTAATAGTGATGACAATGACAATGGTCGCATGTTGTCAATATGGTTTTGATAATGATGATGATGACGACGATGATACAGGCGATGTCATGAGTGGTGATGATAATAGGGAGCTTAAGAAATAACGACGGCGACGGCTACGAAAACGTCACTCAAAAAGTGAATTCGCGCTGTTTCAAACTTAATCGCACTTATTCCATTTCGTTCAGTTCGTCAAGTGTTGGCAATTTTTTCTGGAATTGAATTCTAAAAGACTGTATCAAAGTTCAGGAAAAGAAAAAGAAAGTCGTTGTCTTGTGTTCCCGTCCTCGACAAAACGTGAAATGAGGCACTTTCACGTTGTAGTCGGGCAACGACGGCTAAGAAATGTACAAAAAGCGTGATGCACGTGCAAAGTTATTGTTTTGCCAATCTAAACCCATTGCTTTTTTGCCCGCGTTCCCGTTGCCGTCGCCGTCGTCGTTTGTTAAGCTCCCTAATGATGTTGACGAAGACGACAACGACGACGATGATGATGATTTTTATTAGTAGTAGTAGTATGATCTGAAGAATTGTATAGATTGAACCAATAATTGTTTTATGATTCATTCAAAATATTTCTCACTTAAAAAAATGCGTACCTCGATCGATGTAAAGTTCCTGTCTTCATTTGCCTGTTCCTCGGCAAATTCACGATATAAAAAGGATGTTTACTATAGCAGATATTCTTCGAATAGCTGTTTTCATCTGTCGAGTTGTATTTTTGTTGTTCTTGCTATGTTTTTTAGGCTATTTAGTTCGGCTATTCTTCGGAAAATATGTGGGATTTTCCGCCGTTATCTCCAGCTCTACCATAGCATCCCCAGGGGCTTCAAGTCTTACCGTCCCTTTTCCTGTGAATATTCTGTATAATTGACGTCAGTGGTACCAATATTGCTAAACGGGTTTCAAATTTGGTCAACGCTTGCTGGTTATGAAGAATTCATCGGCGGATTTGAGCTAACCAGAAACGGAGAAATAGAGTGAATGAATGAATAATAAAGATTATCACGTCGTTCATCGTAATGCTCCTTCTCTTCAATCTGTTTTTTTTGTTGTTGTTGTTTATTCCAGCCTCGTTCTTTAAAAAGGACCAAGATGGATCCATGCATAAAGCTGCGTTACTCTCTGGCTCACCAGGAGTTGGTAAAACAACAACAGCCACGCTCGTGTGTGAAGAGCTGGGATTCAGCTACGTTGAAATGAATGCAAGTGATACAAGGAACAAGAAGACACTGGAGGAGCACATTTCTCAGTCACTTAGCAACAAAACCATGGATGGTTTTCTACCTGGTAAATAGCCTGTTCACAGACCCTCTATTTTCTCTTCAAAGTCCGTCGAGCGCGCGTGATAAAATAGAAACCGCGGGGGATTTATTGACCGCCAGCGCAAGGGGGTAGTGGTGGAGGAAGAAGAAATTATTTGTTTTTCTTTCTCGCGCAGTCGCGCTCCTCCGCGCTCGTTTTCGCGTGCTCGAAAAGAGTAAAAGGAACAATAAAACAACGTCTGTGTACAGGCTACCTGGTAAAGCCAAGCTAATTATTTTTTTTACCCAACATGCACTGTAGATTTTCCCTTGAGAAATACATTGCACAGTTTAAGGCAACAATCGACGACTGAATTGATTTGAGATACTTTACTCTAAAGATCCTTTCTGATGATTTGCCAACTTAATAAGGGGAAGATAAGGCTTTCTTTCCCCCCCCCCCTTAACTCCATGCAATGTTGTGCCGCTGTTTGAGCTACTTTTAGGAACAACAAACCTCCCACCTTTGAATGGAGGGAAGGGAGAGGGGGGTGGATGTGGAAGAGAGGGGAAATTTAGGAAATATATTGGATGCGGGTGTAAGAGCCTTTTGGGAAATTTGGAGCAAGGTCTGTTTGAAAGAATAAAGCAAAGGGGAACGTTAGTCTACATTGTTCCTTGTAACTGGATTCTTTGTGCTTTATCAGGTCATAAAGCAGATCCCAAGAAGCATGTGCTGATTATGGATGAAGTTGATGGAATGGCAGGCAATGAAGACAGGGGAGGAATGCAAGTAAGGATGATAATCAATTGCAGATAAAAAATGGCGTTCCCATCTGCAGTTAAGGTGATATTATACGAGACGATTCGCAACGACGACTTTTAGCGCAACACAGCGTTGCAACATTGTTTCGAATAGTTACAACATTGTTCCAACATTGCAATGCTGTGTTGCGTTAAAAATCGTCGTTGCGAATCATCCCGTGTAACATCACCTTTAGTCTGCCTAGCTGGAGGAATTTAGCGCACTGAAGTTCTTTTGTTTTGGTGGAGAGCAGCGAGAGAATTGAGATTTTCAGCTGCGGCTCTGTATTCTGATCCCCTTACTTATACATGCCAGTCGTTTGATGGCTGATTAGCGCTAACCCAGGGTTAAATTTTGACCCGGGTCTCTTTTTCTTTTCATCAGAAGCATTTTCTCTATTCTTTTTAGAGTAGCCAATCATAAAACAGTAGAGTAGGCAAGAAGAATTTAACCTAATTTGCTTTTTAAGCTTTCATATATGAATTCAAATTTTGCTCTAACCCTGGGTTATCTTAACCCCGCGGCTTTGAACAACCCGGCCCAGGGGAAACAAACACTGTCCTTTGATCCTTCTTTGTGCAGAGTTCCTTGTTAAGTAAAGAAATGGATTAGCACTTCAGATTACAAGAGTAATGTTTATTAAAAGAGATTAACACCGATTACTGTAATAATGAGTATTCTCCCCAGTAGCCCTCTTACGGTACATTTTCTATAAATATATTCCTGGGTTCTTTTACTTCCTCTTCTAAATGATGTGTAATGGTGAAGGAGACAAGGCTAATGGTTTAAGGTAATTCCCTTGTTTTGCACTGCGCATCACCTATTGCAGATAACATTTGGACATGTAAGGTGACGTTGATTTTCACCGGCCGCCTGAAGAGAGGTAACAAAGGCCCTTTCTGAAATCCAAATGATTTGAATAGCAGTTAAAAACTCGCTTCAATTCCTCCTTTGTTGTGTTTTTTTACTCGTTATGGCTACAGGAAAAACATATTTCAATAAGAAGAAGATCTGGATTGTAGTAGTTGTATTATTTAGATATGAATGACATAAACTCCGCATTTTGGAGTTGCAAGGGAGTATGAGATAATGTTCAAACTGTCTTTGTTTGTTAGCCCAGACAAACAAAGCAAGATAGTTTTTGCTACATGATAAGAATTTTTGACGGTTGTTTAAGTTTGGAACATTTTGCGCGCAACTAGGAAGAAAACACTTAGAATTACATGCAGACACGCTGGGCGAAAACGGGCTCCGGATTACCCCATCGTTTTATAACAGTTTTTCAATGTCCTATATTTGGCTGTCATGTGTGCCAGGTTTGAAAAAATGTGGATAATACATCCTTTTCAAAGGGATTACCTTAACGTCACCTGTCATTGACGCGATCATCTGAATTGAGACAAGGATTTGGTAACAGCGAGCATGATCTTAGCAGTCCTTTAAAGGCCTTTGTTTGTACGGTTGTCCATCTGGGGTTTGAACTTCCTGCCACCCGCGCAAGCCAGCAGATCGACGCTCTTCCAGCATAGTTTCTCGGCGTTGTGGGCTTTCTTGTTTTTAAATTTGTGATCATCACCATAACCTACGAAAATGATACCTATCTAAGTTTGGGATTTAAGGATATCTTTTGACATCTGTTGTTGCATCCTAACCAGGAACTTATTGGACTCATAAAAAACACCAAAATTCCAGTCATCTGTATGTGTAATGACAGAAACAGTCAAAAGATCCGCAGCTTGGCCAACTATTGTTTTGACTTGAGGTTCCAAAGGCCTCGGGTAGAACAGATTAAGGTAAGTGTTGTCCGGCATTATTCAGTCTTTTATTTTAAAGAAATTTGACTTTTTTTTCTCATGACGATGTAAACGCATCACCTTCTTACATGCCCATTCCATTTGTTTGTCGGGTAACCAATACAGTGGAGCTCCGCTCTACGGATGATCGTGAGGTTTCTTTAGGATGAACTTGTTACGGTAACAGATGAGGAATAGACCTTAATCACGATACCCGCCATCTTTGCACGCGCTTTAGGATTGATGGGATAAAAGCAATGTCACGTGGTATTTTAGGGGGCAAACAAGTGTTAAAATTTGCTAATTAGAGTAGTCGCGGTCGAGTTTGATTGTCCCCTCAAAACTATAAGGCAATATTAAATTTGAAAAATGTACAGTTCAAGTTTCGACAAGTCATTATTGCTTGCTGTAAGGACATCTACGGTCGCTACTGCATTAAAAGAAATAGCGATCACTTCCACCGATAATCTGCTATTATCGTCTTGAAGATAAAAAGGTCTTCATCCTCTGTTGTCTAAAATAAACAAAAACAACCGTGATTCCTTGTATTGACAGATTATCACTTGTTTACGCCTGAGAAACCACCTGACATTGCTTTTAACCCATCAGCCCTTATGCACGTGCAAAGATGGCGGGTATCGTGAATAAGGTCTGTTGAACAACGTTTTCTAGTAAAATGCTACGTGGTGTCCTTGAAGTTTTTTCTGAGAGCCCGCTTTATACGGACACCCGGATAATACAGACACTGTGGCGTGTCCCACTGGTAACCGTATTGACCGGGTTCCACTAATAGCTCTTGGGAAGATCCGTAGATAGGCTATACTTTCTAAAAGTCTCTCTTGGTTTGGTCATCAGTCGGGAGAGAAAACAGACTTTCCTCGAGTGAAGCGCGCCATTTTGTTTCTGTTCTTTTTTGTTGTTTCGACCCGATCTTAGTATAGGGCGTTGACTTGTCGCGCTTGTGCTCAGTAGCATTAACCAACAATCAGAGAGCGTTATGTTGGGAAAAGAATTGTCCTGCTTGTTTCGAGTTATCGGGAGTCGACTTTATCAGTTAAAGTACAGTAGATATAGTGTTTTCTTTTTCTTGTTCACTAGGGAGCTATGATGAGCATCGCTTTCAAGGAAGGACTCAAGATTCCTCCCCAGGCCATGGAGCAAATTATTCTTGGAGCCAACCAGGATGTCAGACAGGTTAGCTAAACAAACTTTTTTTGTTTTGTTTTGAGGTGGGGGATGGATGGAGGGGGGGGAGGGGTAGGAAGAAATCTAAATTTATTGTTCACGTGTAGGTCCATGTATTGTCGTTGCAAATTAATCTTGAGATGGGAGAAGTGATTTCAGTTCTTTGAAATCTGTCACTTGGATCTCTCTCTTTTTTTAAAATATATTCCAAATTGAAAATTTCGTTGGTGGCTCTTATATTTGTTGTTGTTCTTTTTTTGCGCCTGTATTTTCTTTTACTTTATTTCATTCAGGCTCTTTGTTGATTGATTTTTTTTCCTGTTTGACAGGTTCTTCACAATATGTCCATGTGGACTGCCAAGGAAAAGAGCCTTAACTACGATCAAGCAAAAGCAGAAGCTGCAAGGGCCCAAAAAGATATTAAAATGGTAAACCAATTTATTCAAACTACTGTATTTCAATTTACCGAGTATGTTATCACTACCTTAGTGAAGTGGACAGACCGCTTCCTGAATATTTTTATGATTAAAGTGGACACTGTTGGCCATATTTTTCTCCGTGGCACTAATATAGAGTAGAGTAGTAACATAATTTTACGTAAACTGCCGTAAATCAGTAGTTTTTATTTGATTGTAATATGTTTTGCAAAGTTTTAAACGAATATTGAGCATACGTGACAGCTCTGTTATGTAAGTAAGCGATTACTGTCTCTAAACCAGTATTTTCCGTGTTGAAATTTGGACGCATATAAATTTTACGGGTTTCAGCCATTTTTTCTGCAAAATATAAACTGCTGAGGTATAATAGCCGTTCCCTAAACACAGTTTTTTTTGTAGGGTGCTTTTGATGCCGTAAGAAAACTTCTCTCAGGAAATGAGAGTTCGAAGATGAACCTGATTGAAAAATCAGACATGTTCTTTTGTGATTACTCCATGATGCCACTCTTTGTGCAGGAAAACTATGCACTGGTTGACCCTGGACAGTCGCGGTAAGTTTATAACAAGTTTTAAAATCTTCTAAGAAATACCCACTCTGTATTTTTTTTTGCCCCGTTAGTCGGTCCTTAACCGATCCGGCTTAAAGTAGGACGTAGTTTTGCAGAGCTCCGGCACAAAAGTAGAACAGAAAATAGGGTGGAACCCCGTTAATACGGTCACCAATGGGCCAAAAAAATTGGCCGTATTAACAAGGGTTGTTTTACAAGAAACTGTATGGCGGTTTTTGCTAGGCAGCCAAAAAGAGTGGCCGTAATAACGAGGTGACCGTATTACCGAGGTGGCCTTAAGGCGGTTTTTCACTGTAGTGTTCCATGTGTGAACAAAGGCTCACCCCACGTAAGGGAATCCAAGACAGTCTTGGATTCTGGATTCCACGCCGTGGATTCCAGATTCTTTGTCAGTGGAACTTGGATTCTGGATTCTAATCGTCAGTGGGATTCTGGATTCCTTCAGCTGTATTCCGGATTCCAAATCCCAGGATTCTGTATTCCACCGGCACCAGATGAGATTGCCGTATTCCAGATTCCAGATTCCGAGATCCTTTTTATAGGGCGAAAAGGCCTAGCCGATATAGTTCCTATGACGGCTTATCGTGAGAACATGGCCAAACGCTTGATCTAAGGTTTTTATACCTACAAGAAAATAAATAACATTTTCTTAAAGTTTGAGGAGGACTCGGAAAAAAAATCCGAGTCCCAGATGGGATTTGAACCCACGACCCTCCGTGATCTAGTCGGATGCTCTAACCACTTGAGCTACTGGAGACTCTATGGTGAGCAAGGGCCAATTTTAAATTGGCCCTTGCTTATTTATTATAATGGATGCCAAAAATCAT